GGAATAGAAGATAATAACGAACTGAATTCCTATCTTGACTATTGTAGCCATCAACGAGAATATCGAATCTGGGAAGGAAAAAGGAGAGGAAATCTCTCTGGCGAGTGCAGTCTCTATATAAGCCTTTGTGCGATGCGGCTTGAGCCCTTGTTTGTCCATATTGCTTATATGGCATCTTTTGGCATGTTGGCAATGTTTGTCTGGTCGTTGAGCCGTCACATAGGGAGGGCTCTTATATTGGGAGGCCAGGCGGGCAGTGGTTACAGTATGGCGTATCGGGAGGCTAGACCAGAAACGGCAAAACTAGCCGGAAAAGGAAATTCACAGGTCCTCAGTTTACAAGAAAAATATAAGCGAACTGCACATCGGATATAGAAGACCCCAGACGGCTCGCTAGTACATGATTGACAATAAACAGAGTTTCAAAAGATTACGACTACAGCATCGCAAAGAACAAACGGCACAAATCTCAGAAGCTAAGACTGCATAGCGGCAAGCTTAGGGTTGGTTAAGCTTCAATAGCTCGTGTGGGGAACACCACGCGAAGCCTAAGCTTACATAGTTCAGTGGAAAAGACATTTAGAGCTGCATATATAGCCGATGGCGTGTGGTGATCATTGAAATTATTATCCAAGTATTGGTGGTATAGTAAGTACACCGTAGGTGTAGTTATGTACGTGGTATCGAGCTATGTATGTGCAAGCAAAAATGAAAACCAAACCCAAACTCCAATCATATCGGCATAAAAGAGCGACATGACTCTGAATCAAAATGAAAAACCATTGTAATTCATGAGTCATAAACATACAATTCTTCCCCGGGAATGGGTGGTTATAACCTCGCCATGAGATCCGCGATGGTCATTTCCATCCCACGTTTCTTCGTTTTGTATTTGTCCAAATCAACATCGCTCATGGCCCTTTTTAGATTCCTCAGATTATCCAGAGCAGTACCATCCAGGATACTCCCATCACTGTCATCCGTCTCCGGCATGGTGAGGGATAAATTCGCCAATGGATTGTCCTTGCCGTGGAATAGACTTTGAACGGTGTTTCCGAGTAACCCGGCTATCGGCACATCTGCTTCCAGGGTGAGACCCTTCATGACCTTCGTGTAGTAGGGGACCTGGACGCCATTCCATTCGACATTGGCGCCTATGGTTTTGAGCCGGAGGTTGCCTTTTTTGAGAGAATCGGCTTGGTCTTTGACGATTTCGGACAGGTTTTTGATGAGTATACTGAGGTCGAGGATTCCTTCGACGGGGGTCGCGTGGTTGCCGGGGCGGAGGAAAAGGTTGGGGAGAGTGGCGTTTCCGAGGAGGATGTCGCCGCTGAAGAGGTTCAGTGTTGTGTTTCCCTGTTTTCGTTAGCTTGGTTCCACATAACGAATTGTCTAGGGAGGCGTACGATTTCCAATGTCACGACAGAGGGATTGGGAAGAGTGGCGTTGGCGAGCAGATTGGTGCCATCTTCGCGGGCCTCGATGAGTGTACTGTCATCAATAGAGAATCCAGTGAAGTTATTCAACGCTGATCCCAGTTAGCTTGACCGCACACTCTTTCAGTCTGGTGAAACATACTTGTCTGCGGAATATCCTTATCCATAGAAACCTTACTAACCAACTGTCCTAAGTACGACGTGGTCTTCCCGCGCACCGACAGCGGTGGATGATGCAGATGCACGAACTTCCATACATAATCATACCACTGCTCCGGGTCAATTGGCGTATGCTGGTTCGTGACACCCAACGTGGTGTTTCCCTTGACCAAATACGGGCCCAGATATACCTTGCCCCATGTGTTGTTCATGGGTTGTTCGCGGTTAAACAGTTCGAGCGCCATGGGGTCGATGCGTACGGGGAGCGAGACGGGGAGGTCCAACGCGGAGGTCATACTGAGGGAGATGCTGTCGGGGCGGGGTTCGAGGATCGAAGATTCGACGAGGAGGAGGGTCGAGCGGTTAAGGACATTTTGGGAGATGGCGGGGATACAGATTAGGAAGCT